CTAGAAGCCTTTCATGAACTACTAAGCTGAAGAAGAATAAATAACACTGTTAACAGCACCTTTACCTTGAAGTTTACATCCAGTAACATCTACCATGTGGAATATAGCCACAGCTATAACTGTATGGAATAAACACAGAAGTCAGAAAGGCCTCTAAGGAAGTATTTTTCTATAAATTGATGTAATTTATTCCAAAAGAGAAGCCCTCTACCAGACAAATGGGTGTTAAAATAAGACAGCACAGCAGATGCTAAGTATTCCTAACATGTTGTTACAGGATCAGGATGAGATTGGCAACACAGGATGAAAAACAGAACTATAGGGAGTGGGGGAAACCTAGTGTAGGCCTTGCATAGTATCTTTCAAATAGGCATGGATTTGGTGTAAGGGTACTTGGGTCCTAATCCTGACTGTTCCACTTGCTAACTTTGTGATCCCAGGCAAGTCACTTAATATTTCTGGGCCTTGCTTTCCTCATCTGCAAAATGGGGTTGGTGGTGGTAGACAGGATGACTTCTAAGCTCCCTTTCAGCTCAAAATCCATGATCCTGTGGTAAAGTAGATCTGAAGTCTAAAATCAGTTGAGTAGTTCTGGTTTGACTAGTCTGGTTTAAAAACTCCTATCTAGCATTCTGGGCCAGAATGAGGCAGGCAAGGTGAAACTAGAATGTAAGCAAATAGGTCATGAACAATGTAATTTAAATCAGTTTCATCATTCGGTTGAGAGAGCAGGTAAATGTGTATTAGAAAACATTGCACTGTTAAAATATTCTATTAGAATTATTTTTGTTATTTTTCAGTTATTTCAGTCGTGTCTGACTCTGCGTGACACCATGTGGGGTTTTCATGGTAAATATAGTGGAGTGGTTTTTCGTTTCCTTCTCCAGCTCATTTTACAGATGAGGAAACTGAGGCAAAAGGTTAAGTAACTTGTCCAGGGTCACACAACTAGTAAGCATCTGAGATACGGGACCTGAACTTGGGTCTTCCTGACTCTAGGCCCAGCCACCTAGCTAACACCATTAGTATTAAAGTATACTAATCAGTAAATGGATAGAAAGCCAGACCCAAAGCCTGTAAGACCTGAGTCCCACCTCTGACACATCCTAACTGTGTGATTCACTGCAACACTTCTCTGTTCTGGAACTACACCTTGCAGAGAAGGTGCCGACCTAGATTGATAGGTGATTTTCTCACATGGGAATTCCCTATACAAGTTAAATTCTAGGTCCTGACCTCCTTCTTATTACTATGTGTAAGGCACAGTTTTAAATGACAGGGGGATGCAAATAAAGGGAGAAAGAAGCTAACATTCTAAGGGGGGGAGGAAACATGTACTATAATGAAATCACAAATCTCGTTCTTCCATCCATCCCTATCACAACATCACAATGATGACCCCAATTCATTAGGTTTAAATTATATTTAGCATCATAGTCTCTTTTTAGAAAGTGTGAGGATATGTGTATTGCAATTTCAAAAAATTTCCATCAAAAATATTTAAAATCAAGGTTTTGGTGCTTAAAAAAATCCATAAATCTCTGTAATTTGGAAGATCCACTTATGTATAATAAGTAAGCACTTCAGTGCTGTTGACTGCCTGTTGACAGACTAGAATGCGTCATTCACAATCTGTAATTTTATCCCTGCTCCCTCCATTGACGCAGATTGCAAACCTTCCATGATTAATAGATGAAGAGCTGCCCTGGAGAGAAAATTCATCACCGTGCACCAGCCTGGGGAAAAGCCTCTCTGAACAGAACTAGATTGGTCCACAGTCAGTCGCGAGGCCTGTACTGACAGTCTGTTAGTACAGGTCTGATGCCTACTCTGCTTACTGCTAGGACAGACTCCCAACAGCTCTGGTGACCATGGCCTAGTTCAGGGCCTCCGCACTTCTCACCTGCACTATCTCAGTAGCCCCCGAGTTGCATTGCTTGCCTCACGTCTCTCTTCCAGCTTATCCTCTCCTTAGCTTCCAGAATGATGTTCCTGAAGCAGAGGAGTGATCGTGCCAATCCTCTGCTCAGTGAATTCTGGTGGTCCCTTATTACCTCGAGGGTAAAATACAAATTTCTCTGTAAAGTCCTTTACAATCTGGCTCTTGCCTACCTTTCTGTCTTTATTACAGTTATGCCTTCCACATCATGGAGGTTAGAGCATGGCACCCCCTGCAATCTGGAAAATCTGTGTACAATTTTTGCCTTCCCTTCATATCAGAGAAGAAATCTGAATTGTCATGGTATTAAAAGATAAAATATAATGATATTGTGCAATATCGTACATATATTTTATGCATTCTGAGTTTCTAAACTTTTTTCTGTGTTGTCTGCTGGCCTTCATGCGTCATCTGCAGCTTCTGCAAAACTCCCCCAAAATTCCCATTTAATTTCTCATGCCGACTATGATATATTGAAACTGCAATGGGGAAAGTCTTGATGTGGACGGGAAAACTGTACTTGTTATTCCCCTTCCTGTTCCAGCCAAATTGCCCTTTTTTGGGGGAGTGCTGTTCCTTAGACATGAAGTTTGATCTCCTGTCTCCCTTGGCTGTTTCCCATGCCTGGAACACACTGCTGCCTTCCCTTTGTGTAATCTTAGATATGTATATGTTCCCCCTCACCTCCCCAATAGAATGTAATCTCTTTTTTTGCTCTTTGTGTCTCTAGTACCTAGTAGATAGTAGGCCATTAATAAGTTCTTGGTGATTGAATCTGTGCCTAGTTAATGAGGCATTACTTGTCTACCAACTAGTAACCTTCGTTTTAAGTTTTATGTTAATATTCCTAAATCATCCTCAGTACCAGCTAGGTAGTGCAGTGAATAGGGTATTGGGCTTGGAATCAGGAAAACCCAAGTTCAGAACTGGCCTCAGACATTTGCTAGCTTGTGGGATCGCTTGTATGATCTTGGGCCAGTCACTTAACCTCTTCTTGCCTCAGTTTCCTCAACTGTAAAAGAAGGGCAGTAGTAGTACCTACCTCACAGGGTTGTTGTGAGGACCAAATGAAATATTTATAAAGCACTTAGCACAGTGCCTGGTGCACAGTACTATATTAATGTTTATTATTATTTCTCTTTTCTTCTATCTTTCTTTTCTGAGCCACCTTTTTCTAATGATTTTTGAAAAGTAGACTGGTTCTTACTATTAGGTAGTATCACTTTGCCATGCCAATGAAATGTAAACTGTGTAATTAAATTTAATTAAAGTTTTTATAAATTGTGACTTTGGTGTGTGTGTGTGTGTGTTTGTGTGTGTTCATTTTTCTTTGTGTGGTTTTGTTGACATGGAAATATAAACTCTTTGGGGGCCATGGCTGTTTGTCTCACTTTTGTCTTTGTATTCTTCAGTCCTTAGTGCCTGGTACATAGTAAGCACTTAATGCTTGTTGATTGGTCTAGTTAAACAGCAATCTGTGGAGTAATTTCCTTGTGCCAGACAGTTCTAGGGGGATACATGGGGCAAGAAGATTGAGGAGAAAAATGGTATCTGTTGCCATTAGGGTGTTTATAATTTGTTGCTCTTAGGAGAGGAGTGAAATGGTGAAGGGTCTGATATTGGGTGGTAATACTCTGCTAGAGGTGATACCGGATCATCAATTCCTAAATTTGGTGACCTCTGGATCCCTCCAGCCTCCCTGTGGGTATTGTCTGTAGAAATCTGCTTAATCAGGTATTATCCACAGTAGATGCCTGTGCTTTACTGTCCTACATTTGGTTGACTCTGTAGGTTGTAGTCAGGCTTATATTAGCAAAGCTAAATTAATTAGACTAGTTTTAGTTTGAGGAAAAATGGAAACAGATCCCCATATAAGTGTGTGTGCTTCATGCTCGACTAAAGTAAGTATTTTGAAATGCCAGAATTTATCTCTGGCCATTATTTCCTATGGATTAGGCTGTAAATATATCCATTTATCCACCTCTATTTATATAGCCTGTGAGTGATGAGGTGGCCTTCATCTCAGAAAGATAAATCCTAGTTTCAAGCTTCTAGCCAGCAGTATCTATAGCCATATGACTAAAGTGAATGTTGGAATTTGTTTCCTTGAGAAGGCAGCAAAACTCTGAAGGGGATTGTGATGAGGGGGTTATAAATCTGGCATCCCAGTAGTAAACAAGAAGAAATGTATGAACTTACGTAGTAGAGGTGAAGTCTTGATTGTTCATGCAGCTATTAGCAATTTTTATATGCATACATCTCTACAGTATAGGTGTTTGATAAGTGTTTATTGATTGATTGGGGAATAAGATACATTTAGTGACAGAAGGCAGAGAAAAACTATGTTATCCATAAGATAATCACTAGAGCAGATGTTCTTAACTTTTGTCGTGGATCCTTTGTCAGTATGGCATAGCCTGTGGACCCCTTCTTAGAATAGTGTTTTTAAATGCATAAAATAAAACACATAGGACACAAAGGAAAACAGTTACATAGAAAATGCAGTTATCAAATTTTTTTTAACTTGGTTAAGAACCCATGCTCTAGGATAGTTGTGATCTGCATTAGAAAAGATCATTTAATTCAACCATGTCACTGCTTCTGCCTTTAAAAAGAATGATTGCTTTTACCTACCTCACAGTGTGGTAAGGAAAGTGTTTTATAAACCTTAAGGGCTATATAAATGTAAAGAGTTGCTGTTATTCTTATTACTATTATTAGCATAACTGGACTGTATTTTAATTAACAGCATTTCCTGCCTATTAGGAGGAAAACAGTATTATGTGCATTTGTTCTTTATTCTTTTTAAATCCAAAGATTGCTTTGGACAAACCCCTTCCTCCTCCTCCTCCAAATTCCTGGAAAAAAGCTATTAGCCTGCAGAACATAATCAAAGTTGCTGTATGTTGCCATAATTAGAAATTTGAAGCCAGGAGAGTTAATTATTTCAGGCAGATTTCAGTTGTTGCCAAATAAAATGTTTGAGAATATTATCCTGACAGTCTCTGAGTTAATTTTCAGCACTATATTGCATTCACTTTCTTTCTCCCCTGCTTAACAGGATCATGCGGATGTACGAAGCCATTTCTTCACAGTTGGTATGAAACTGGAGGCAGTGGATATGAGTGAGCCCTTTAAAATCTGTCCTGCATCAGTGACTAAGGTGAGCCCCCCTGAAAAGGGGATTAAATAAGTGGTTCAACCTCGAAGTCAGGCCTCCAGAATGTTTTTTTGCACATGGAGAGGCAGAAGGGCCCATCTAGCAGACACAAACATAGATTTACTACTTCACAGTCTGGTACTATTTCTAGTTTGGCTAGAGATTCTTTGAGTAGTCTCGGGTAAATCCCATCAGATGGTTTATGTATAAAGTGGGAAGGGTGATACGGCTCCTTCCCATCTTACTTGGGATGAGGCAAAGGTGTTGAAGGTAATAATGTCTTTGAGCTTGGAGAAACGATCATAACCCAACATTACATCATGGATTCCTATTACCTTCAGGATCAAATATAAAATTCCATGACCTTCATGCATAGCCTTTATGCTTGTAGATAAGCGTCACATATTATCACCTTAGTATTAATTTGTTTGTTACCTGGTAATGGCTTGGATATGGTTGTTGTTTTTCTTTTTCTTCTTTTTTTTCTTTAGTTTATATGATTTGGGTACCTCCACCAAACTGCTGCCTTGATACTTCATCATGGTGTGGAGGTGACCATGTGTTCTTGGAGGCTATTGCCAGCAAGTTCTGGCAGAGCCTACCAGTTTGGAAGGGCTTCAAGAAGGGGCCTAGCAACTCACTCTGTCAGTCTGTCGCCTGAGGAACAGCCTAGCTAAATTAGGATAGACTCATCAACATATTGGCTGCAGGGTGATGAATTTTTCAGCCCCAACAAATCTCAAAGACCTGTCTGCTAAGGCATATGGGGGTTGGGATGTGTGCTGATGTAGGCAGTATCCACTGAGATAAAATTATTGAACCTTGAGGTATTGAAGCAAGAAATATTTCAGGTAATTGCCCTCTGGTCATTTTAACTAGGCCCATGGCTCTAAAGTTCATATTTTTAACCTTTTCTTCTCTAGGAGTTTTTTTGCTTTCTAATAGTAATAGTAGCTTTCTAGGAGCCACTAATCATTCCCATCTGTCTCCATTCAGTTTTTATGTCCCCAGATAACTACAAATATTGTAGAAGATAGGCCTTTTTTTTTTTGTGTGTAGGGAGGAAAAGGAAGGAGAAGGATGATTCAGACTTTAGAAATTAAATAGTATTTAGGAATGATAATCCAAGGTATGTAAGTTTTTTTTTTTTAAACTTCCCCTTTCATATCCTGGACCACTTCACCATCTGGAGGCCTTCATACTGTGTTTCTTTTAGGGTTAGCTTATTTCTTTCCAAATACTGAAGAATGATAGCTTGTTGGAGCCTGGCCAGTCTCCCTTCTTTCCAGCAACAGTTGCCACAGTATTGCCAGCTGCAGGTTTATTTGTATTATTTATCAAGTTGTCTTAAAAGACAACTATTTTTGCAATGTCACCTTCACCTGGTACTTAAAGGATAACAAAATGGGATTACAGCTTTTAGGGATAGCTTTGAAGCACCAAAGATTCCACCTTTGTCCCACTTTTTTGGGCTTAGTGTTCATTATTATGTATGAAGTTAAATCATAGTTGCAGAGTAAAAATGGAAGTGACATTCTAATTCTAATTGTTATAGCTTTGTGTCTGTACATGTTTCTGAATCCTTTTTATTCCTGGAAATATTTCTTTTGGGGGTTTTACTTGTGGGAATATTTTTCTTCATTAATCAATCCTATTTGGAGCAAGTTTGCCTTAATATTTTAATTGTTTTCTTTATCATCCCATTATTCCTTTGTATAGTTTCCTTGTGTCAAAGATTAAAAAAAAGTTAGTCATCCTACTTAACATTTTGCCCCTCATAATCATACTTCTCAAGTATTTTATGTTCTCAGTGCGCAAAATTATTATGAGTAATTATCATGTGTTTATTCAAGACTCATCTTTCAGTAAAGAAGTATCATAAATTGCCAGAATTTTCTTATGTATCAGGAGCATTACAAGTATACATTTCCTCTTAGTTTTAGGAAATGTTTTAGAATATTGCCCTATCCAGTATTGCATAAACCGTGTTGTTATGACGACCATAATTTAATTTTTTTTTTGTTCAAGGCTATTCTTTTGAGGAAAATTGTTTAAAAAGAAAAAAAATAACAGTGTAATGAATAGAGGCGAATGCAGACCGGCATGAACTGGAACTTTTAATAAAGCACCCAGTTGGAGCATTAAAGGGAGCATTTCCTTGTGGTTCTAAATAACATCATCGTGGTATAGTAGAAAGAACGTGGAATGGGAGTTCACAATCCTAGCTTCTCATCCTGACTCTACTACCAGTAGTCTGTGTGACCTTGGACAAAGGCACTTATTCTCTCTAGGCCTCAGTTTCTTTCTCTGGGAAATAAGGGTTTGTTGAACTAGATGGTGGTGCTCTGTGGTTCTGTGACATGTGTGTAATATACATGGGATGCAAGGAAATGGGCTAGCTGGCCTCTTGAGAACTCTTGATAGCTATGTAAAATTCTAGCGGCATTGTTTAGCAATAGAATTATTATTACATTTATTTTTACTGATATTACCTGAAGAATGCCACATAATTGTGGGACTAGTCAGCTGATCCCCAAAGGCATTGTGTACATGATGGTTCTCAGTAGCATACCTTGGTCAGGAATTCACCTCCTCAGTCAGGTGACTTTTGTAGTTCAGAATAGGAGATCTTTGTTCACTGCCCTCCTGACAAGTTGGGGAAAGTTTACTGCTAACCTTTTGGCCTCATTTGACTCTTCTTTTCTCTTAATCTTTCATGCTTTCCAGCATTGGGACAGCTCTGCCATGTGACCGTTTTGTCCTGCTTGTATGCATTGGCCTCATCTCTTTCTCTTCATTCTACTATTCCTTTTCTCCCCTCTTACTCTTTTTTCTGTTGTTCTTTCCTAGTGGTGGGCCCCCATGGCTGGAATCCCAGCCTCTGCCTCCCAGCTTCCCTGGCTACCTCTAAGACTTAGCTTAAGTCCCGCTTTCTACAAGACACTGCTAGATTAACACCACTGAGATTAACTCCACTTTCTGCTGTGTTTTATACATAAGTCCAGTTGTTTGTCCTCTTGTCTCTGCCATGACAATGGGAGCTCCGTGTGGCCGGGGGCTTCATTTCTTCGTATTCCTGGAATTTAGCACAATGCCTGGCACGTAGTAAGGCTTGTTAGCTGACCAAGTGACAGATCTTTCTGTGTCAATCTTAGTTTTCCTTCAGATCACTTGTAAGTGAGTTGCTTCTATGTTTTTCTTAATTTACCCTATTCTGTTGATGTTCTTTCCCACCCCAGGTTCTTTTATTTATGTAGGATTTTCCTTTTATTTTTTTTGTCTTTACCTATCTTTTAAAAAATTATCAGGTACTTTTAAATCTTCTCTTTGAAAAAAAGTCATGATGACCATCTCTACTTTCTTTGACAACTAGAACAATTCAGTGACACCCATGGAAGATAATAATTTCTGATTAAATCATTCCTATCAAGAGACATTCATTGGCTTCCTGTGCATAGCAATGTGCCAGTATTTTAGTGTCTAAGGATTCAGTAACATAAGACTAACATTTGACTTCTTTTTTTTACCTTTAGGTTTTTAACAATCATTATTTGCAAGTGACTATTGATGACTTGAGACCAGAAGCTAAACAAATCTCAATGCTGTGCCATGCAGATTCTTTAGGGATTTTACCTGTACAGTGGTGCCTTAAAAATGGAGTCAACCTCACACCACCCAAGGGTTTGTATTCATTGACATCTTGCTTTGATTTGGGATATGTGGTGGGTGGTTTGATTTTGGTTTTGTTTGATCCACAATGAAATAATGCCTTTGCTTATGTGAATAATGGCTGAACAGGAACTGTCAGAAGTTGCCAAAGTAAATGCAGGGAGCCATAAGAGAGGTGGTAGTGTGTTGTTTGTCCTTCGTTTCTGGAAAAGGACCATGACACCAGGAAGGTGATGTCATGACTTGCAAATGAATTAGATTTAAGTGAGGGAGGGCTGTGTAAGGTCACCAGCTTCACTTTCTCTTCTGGAGCCATCTGGGTCCAATGGCAAGATATAGTTCAGAAGGATAGGAAACCCCCAGATATCTTGAGGTTTCAGATATCAAAATTTATATTCCTTTGGGCAGAGCACCCACAGGTAAAGGTATGATTCCTTATCTGGACAGAGGGAGTGGAGGGAGAAGAGGGAAGGAATGATTGAATTAACTGTTTTGAACCATTATGTTTTATTGCAAGAAAATGTTAATTAAGAGAGTGTTTGTGTGTGTGTGTATGTGTCTCTCTCTGTGTGTGTCTATTTTTCTTTTCTCATTCTTGGTTAAGTAAATTCTCAGTTGCTCTTAGAAGTAGTTTAAAAGAGTTAATTCAATTCTTCTTTTGAATATTTGAAGACATCTCTCATATCCTACCTAAGTATTTCTCTTGGTTAAAAATAGCCAGAGGAAGTTAGCAAGGCATAGAACAAGTAGAGAATCAGTTTATCAAGTATTCAGTTAATTAGATTAGGGGGAGAAGAAAGTCTATGGTAATTTTGCAGATGATAGACATATAGTTACTGAGGCTGCTAGTCCCAGAACGTATATGGCAAGAGTGGCTTCTTTATCTTCTGTCCCTCTTCGTCACAATGGTAATGGTTTAGCTTTGAGAATTCATTGGATTTGGGCATTAAATCCAAAGTGAATCCATGATTATTGGCAATAGATCCTTCCTGATTTACCATTCCTACTGCTGTTCCCTTATACTAGGTGTTCTCTCTCTCTCTCTCTCTCTCTCTCTCTCTCTCTTTTTGTTGTTGTTGTTGTTGTTGTTGTTGAGGCAATCGGGGTTAAGTGACTTGGCCAGGGTCACACAGCTGAGACTAGGTTCTCTTCCTAAACATTTGGAATTTTGAATGTCTCTGGTTCATCTTCATGACTCTAGGCCTTTCCTCCTACCATTCATCTTGCAGATCACTGCTAGACTGTTTTTCCTATTATCACATTTTTTATCATTCACTCTCCTTTCTCATGGTACCGCAATACCTCATTACACTGTGGAAGTAATCCTGAGTTCTTGAAGACAAGCTCAGGCAGATTCTGCCATGCAGAGAAGTCAACGAGCATTTACTGAGTGCTTATTATGTGCCAGGCTCTGTACTAAGTGCTGGGGATACAAAGAAAGACAAAAGACAGTCCTTACTTTCAAAGAGCTCATGGTCTAGTTAGGGAGACAGATACAAACAACTCTGGATAAACAGTTGGTAGGACAAAGTAGAGCTAATCTCAGAGGAAAGGCGCAAAGATTAAAGAGAGCTGGGGGGAGGCTTCTTGTAGAAGGTGGGATTGTGGCTGATTTTTTGAAGAAAACCAGATTGCAGATGTGAAGAGTGTTCCGGGCACAGTGAAAATACAGAGTTGGGAGGTGAGTGTCTTTTGTGGGGAACAGTAAGAATGTGAGTGTCACTGGGTCTTAGGGCATGTGGAAGAAAGGCTTTTGAATATGCTCCTGCAATAGATAATCCTGTTTTCTGATGACCAGTCTAGTTAAGAACAGAGATGCTTATATCACTAGGCATGCCACTTGGTGATGAATTCTTTCAGTCCTATGTAATTACTACAGTTCATGAGCCCCTCTGGGCATCTGTATTTGATGGCAGCAGAGTAGATGGAAGGAATGCTAAGGATCTTGAAGATTTTGATGGTCTATAAAGATCCACAAAAATTTTTATACCAAACTTTTTTCACCATCAAGGAGAGTAGAGTCTCATACTTTGACCCAATTTTCAGATGATTTGAAGATAACAAAAAAAAAAACAAGAAAACAACTGGAATAGATTTAGTGTTTATAGAGGAGATCAGTTCTGGGAGTGATGACACAGTTGTAAGGAATTGAAGAATCGATTGACAAATTGTAATTGAGGGATTGATTCACAAAATACAGAAAGGTAGAGGTAGGGCAAGAGGCCAAAGCTGTGGAAAAAAATCTTGGACCTTATTGTTACTTAAAAGAACATCAAAAGGGGCAGCTAGGTGGCACAGTGGATAAAGTACTGGCCTTGGAGTCAAGAAGATCTGAGTTCAAATTCAGCCTCGGATACTTACTAGCTGTGTGATCCTGGGCAAATCACTTGACTCCATTGCTGGGGAGAAAGAAAGAGAATATCAATAGCTGTTTACTTAGGATCCCATAATGTTTGTTACTTGTTGGTACATACATATATATGTATGTATATGTGTGTGTGTGTGTATATATATATATATGTGTGTGTGTATATATATGTATGTATATATATGTATTTTATGTGTATGTTTATTTGTGTATATACACACATATACATATATACATATACACACATGTATATATTATATGTATATAGTGTGTGTATGTGAGTGTGTGTGTGTATATATATATATATATTTTATCACTTAATTTGGTGGAGTAAAACATGACTGAAAAAATCTTACAGTAATGTGATTCCCACTTCAAAACATCAAGGAGTTGTCCAACTCATTCTCATGGGAGGTTAAAAGATTTGACCCACGCCACACAGGTAGCAAATAGTGGCTCGAGAATGTGAATCCAGGTTCTATAACTATCAACCTAGTGTGTTTTCTTTCCCCCTCTACATCGTTATTATTACTGCTATTTTTTGGTATCCGCTATGGTGTTTACCGCAGTACTGAATGCATAGTAGTTACTGAATCAATATTTCATCTTTTGAATAATTTGAGTGCTCTCCAAGATATAGGTAACAAAATTGTGGAACTGTCTGATGTCAATTTATTTTTGGCAGTAAGGAAATGGATGATCTGTTTTATCCCCTTTGGACCTGTGCCAATCAGAACTGCATCCTGATCAATCAGTCTTGGCTGAAGCCACTGTGGTTTAACAGGCTCCCCTGACTGCTTATTGCAAATTCTAATAGTTCTGAAGTTTTTCCCCATGCTTTTTTTTTTATTCTACAGGGTTTTAAACACATTTTCCTACTTCAGTTAAGCCTTGTTACTTCTTGTTCTGTCTTTGTTGATTAATGAGGGTAATTGACCCCTGTCTCTTTATAATACAATCCACAGCAATTTGTTTTTATATAGCAGTTCTCCAGGAGCTGTCACAAAACTGCTTTACAAAAAGAGCTCATTATCAAGCCTAGAGGAAGAGGAATTTAAAGAGATGAAGTGACTTGAGGTCCCTTGAGGAGGAAGGAGAAGTCTAAGCAGGTGGTGCAGCACAAGGAAACGACATTGTTCCTGGGGCATGGTAATGAGCTGCCAATGCCAGTGAGAGGCTGCACCAAATAATCACTCGAGGTTCCTTCCAACTTGAATAATTCCATGACTCCGAGACTCCCTGATGAAGTAGGCATGATAGGATTCTAGGCAAAAGGGATAGAATGGAAACCTAGCTTTTTACAATTCAGTTCAGTGGTAATAAAAAACATTTATTAAGCACCAAGTTTCTGGGTTAAAATTAGAAAGAGTCCTTTTTTTTTTTCAACGAACTTACAAGGGGGATGGGATACAGTATGTACATGGATGGAAGGAAGAGAAATTGGTTCTTAGAAAAGGTAGTTGTTTTCAGAGGCCTCAGATTATATCAAATTGTGGGATCAAATGTATCCAAGGAAAAATAGGTAAAGCTTGGTAGAGAAAGAATTGCATTAAGACCCCCGGGAAGATTATTGTTTTGAGAGCTTAAGTTATTATTGTGAATCATTTCATGTCCAGATGTTGGGCGGGGGGGGCGATACTTGACTCCTGTACCTTTTCTGAAGTTACTTAATAAAAAATGAACATCATTGCAGTTGTACCCATAACAGAGACAAGCTATATAAGACATTGAAGGTTTCTTGATATTTTTCTTTGTTACAATCTTATTTTTAAGTTAAACATTCCATGATTTTATATTAATTGAAGTATTAAGGCACCAGGGTTTATTCTAGCGGTCTTGTGAGCTAGCTCAGCTTCTAGTTGTAACCCTCATAGCTAGTATGGGAAGACAGAAGCCCAAGCAGACGTGTGGGGGAGGAGGACCTGGCTTCAGAAAAAATCCATAAAAGAGACCCAGATTCAAGTAACTCCAGACGTGGATAGGGTAGTCATGGCAGAAATAAAGCAGGAGGTCAAAGCGTCCAAATGAAGGTGATTCAGAGAATAAGGAAAACTGGGGTTAAGAAGTAAGGTGGCTCAGGGCAGCTAGGTGGATAGGTGGATAGAGCTTGACTCTGAGGGAGAAGGGCCAGGGTTCAAATGTGACCTCAGACACCTACTAGCTATGTGACCCTGGGCAAGTAACTTAACCTCAGTTGCCTCCCAAAAAAATACAGAAAGAAAGAAAGAGATAAGGTGGCCTAGCTGAATTCAGGTTGTGGACTCTTAATTTTTCTGGATAATTTACATGCTCAGATTTTCATTTTTCTGTAGGCCATTTATTCTTTGCACAAATAGCACTCATTTCCTGGGGGCTTTACAATCCTTGCCTTATGAATAGTGGAACCTGAATTAAAATGCTTCTTATCTAAAGTTAGCTAATTGGTCTGTTAAAACACTAAGCCTATCAGTTTCAAAGATCTTTATGTTTAAGGGAATTCTCATACTTTGCCTTTTAGGGATGATAATAAATACTGTAATTATTTGTTGTTATTTTTTTGCCATCAAGTTTATAGGTTCTTCCATCTCTAGAAAATGGCTTCTCCAGATGAAACACGCTTCCCTCCTCTTGAAAGGGAGATGGGGACTGTGGGTGTAGAATGTTATTTATGTTAACATCTTGCATATGCTGTCTAATAATGGTTGTGTGTGTGTGTGTGTGTTGGTTTTGCTTAATTATGTGTATTTTTTTCTTTTGCTGGGGGTATGTGTGATGTTGGTGTTAGGTTTGGGAGATATTGACACATCTCTGTGGTATAAAAACAGAAGCCACCAGTTGGACTTTTAAGAATTCATTATTGTCTTCATCCTTGAGTCTAAGAAATAAATGACTTCTTAACCAGAAGATCCCAGGGAACCGTAATAGTAACTCACATTTCTGTACATTACACATCCTTCATACTGACCTTAGAGGGTGATAGTGTAGAAGTATGCTAGGCTAGAGTGGCCTCTTACCCATTTTTCTTTTTTTCTCATGAAGAAAGAAGGGGATGAACCCTACACAAAGGAAAAAGCAAGTGTTCTGCTAAGCCAGGCAAAGGAAATCAATTTATCATTTTACATTAGGACCATTAGGCCTACGAGGGTCCTTCAGACCATCAGTTATCTGAACTTCCTCTGTTTTATAGATGAGGAAATTAAAGCTAAGAAAGTTTAATTTTCTAAGGTCTTCCAGCTAGTTAGTAGCAGATTGAAGACTTAGAGCTTGATCTTCTCACTCTAAGAACGGTGTTCTTCCTATCCCACAATGCTACCACCTCAGCTTGACCTGTTTGCTCTGTTTTTGTAAACATAAGTGTTTTGACCTGAGAAGGCAGTCTCCAAAGTCCGATGATTATAGAAGCTCACAAAGAAATCAAAACAACCTCAAAAAAAAAAAAACGAAAAGAAAAGAAAAGAAAAACTTTTATTAGTGGAAGAAAAATGGGTTTGGTCCTTTTAAGGAGCCAGATTGTAAAATGGAAGAACCAGTCAACAAGAGAGAGAAACTGTAAAGTGAGGCAGCTTGAGACCAAGCTGTAAATAGAAGGGCTTCATTTTCCTTTAAGAAAGTCAGAGATACCTGTAAAGGCATCAGGCTATGGACCATGTAGGTCAAGAGAAAAAACAGGGTAAGAGGAGGTGTTAAAGGAGTTAACCTTTTCTCTATTAACTTGGGACAGTTTGGAGGGTGTAGCAGTTAAATGGTTACAAATACACTTCAGGGTTTGAATTTTGACCTTGATTTTAACTGGGGAATCACTGCTTTTAAAGGAAAAGGAAGTTGATGTATTCTAACTTCTTAATTGTTTTCTTTTAAGAAAAAATTTAAAATTAATGGACTATGCACCAGATACTGGTTTCTCTCAGCTATTCATTCCTATATAAGCCTGCCCCATCAGCCAATGCTACTGCAAACATAGGCAGTACTATTTGACCTCAAGTGCAATCAGCCTACCCCCGCCTTCCTGTATTTCTAATCTTACAGCTTACTTCCAACACTTGCTGTTCAGTCCAGTGACACCATCCTCCTGGTTGTTCTGTGAACAAGACGTTCTATCTCTCAGCTCTGAGCATTTTCTCTGGCTGTCATTCATACCTGGAATGTTCTAACTGCTGACCTCCCTGGCTTCTTTTAAGTGCCAATTAAAATCCCATCTTCTACTGAAAGCCTTCCCTAACCCTTCTTAATAACAGTGCCTTTCCTCTTTTAATTATTTCCTATTTATCCTTCATATAGCTTGCTTTGTATATATTTGTTTGCATGCTGTCTCCTCCATTAGGTTATAAGCTCCTTGAGGGTAGGGATTTTACGTCTTTTTGTATCTCCAGTGCTTAGCACAGTGCCTGGCACCTAGTAGGTGCTTAATAAATGTTTATGCTTTGATTGATTGAAATTAATCTACCTATTGAAATTAATCTACCTATCAGGGCTGGTTCTGTATCTCTTATCCATTCAGCAATGGAAGTGTCAACAAACTACTCGACTATCTCTAGTTTGGCTTAACAAGTGCTATTTTTTATCTGTTTTGTTCCGCGCAGGTTATACTGGCCAGGACTTCGACTGGGCAGATTATCAGAAACAACACGGCGCTGAGGCCGCGCCTCATTTCTGTTTCAGAAATGTAAGTGTGTTATTTGTTAACTGTGAATTAAGCAAGATTGTTGTCCAGTGTTAATGCTCTTTTCGCTGGCTGACGTATTATTTTCTTTTTCCCTCTCTCACTGCACGTATTAAAACTTGAAGGATTATCTTTTGTGTGTAAATATCCTCAATGTCGGCGCTGTCCTTAAGACCTCATGAATCTGGAGGTCTGTTTATGAGTTTTTCTATAGAGCCACAATAATGTACAAGGACAGGATATATCATTATGTTGTCATACCATAAAAGCTTTGGAGTTTTTGAATCGAGTCTCTGACCTAGTTGCCTGTGATCCTTAAATGCTATCCTAGGAGTGTTACAAATAACTGAACTCTGTCACTCCCAACGTACCGTTCTTAAAGCATGTTCTTAAGACCCCCTTAAACACATGTATGTGCTTTAGTATGAGGTTATTCAAAGACCTTTAATTGGCTTATTCCTCTATATTTTGTTCTTAACTAGCTTATTATGAGCAGCCACCTGTTTCAAGTGGATCTTACTGGTCTAGTCATTGGGGTTTTATGGCACATAAAGTAACCATAATTACATATAAGAACACCTTATTTTACACACTGTGTGATTGCCTGCCTTAAATAGTTTGTAGCAGTTACTCATTTTGACTTCCGGGTATTAATGGAAAGAACCTGGGTCATCCACTTGGAGCTTGAAAGGGCCTTAGGAGTCATCTGGTTCAGCCAGTCTCCTCCTTTTGCAAATAGCAAAACTAGGCCCACCCCTCCTCCCAAATTTAAGTGACTTGCCTGAGGTCACAAAGAGTAAATAGAGACAAAATTGAAATCCAGGTCCTCTGATTCCAAGAAGGGAAAGGAGTAAACATTTATGTAATACTTACTATGTGCCAGGCACTGTGTCAAGTGTTTTACAAGTATTATCTTATTTGATCCTTACATTAACTCTGAGAGGTAGGTGCTGTTATTATCCCCATTTTACAGTTGAGGAAACCAGGGCAAATAAAGGTTAAGTGACTCACCCAAGGGTATACAGCTAATATCTGAGGCTGCATTTGAACTTCAGTCTTCTTGACTCTCCAAGACTCCCCTGTGACACCTAGCTGTCAGTGATCTTCCCACTTAACGAAGCTGAAACGGACCCTATTTTTTCCCCAACCTCTTTTTTCATCTCCCTTGTTGGGGCTTGAGCCATGTTGGGCTTGTTTTCTTTTACCAGTCACGGTTCAAGAAGAACATCAGCAATTTCTCACACAGAACACTTCAGAGTTTGGGTTTCCTCTCAACTTTGTAAAGTGGCTACTCTACATATCCCCTTTTTATGGGTGAAGAAAATGAAGCTCTGAGAAATTAAGTGACCTTGCACAATTAGGAAATATCTGAGGAGTTAACCCTCCTGGTGCCAAGTGTAGTGCTCTCTGCCTGTCCATTGAGTTCATCTCAGAAAACAGTGTCCTCAGACATCATAATTGTCGTCATCGTCGTCGTCATGGTTCACATCCTAGAGTTTGTAAAACATTATCAGATCCTAGCATTTAGGCAGAGGGACCTTGAGGATCACCTTTCTTCTATAGACAAGAAAACTGATAAAAAAATAAAGGAAACTTTATGTCCCTTAACGTTAAAAATTAAACCATTATTAGTCGATAGTACCTTATTATAGTAGATTCTTAATAAATAATTGTTGAATTGAATTTAGTATCTTAATCTCATTGGACCTCAGTTTCCTCAGCTGTTGAATTGAGATTTTATTGTGTTCCAGGCTTGGAATGAGTCAACATTATGAGTTGGCAGTCAAAAAAGCTCACATGATTATGAGAGGTGTATAGTGTTCAAGGTAGATGACAATCCCAGCATTTTCATCATAGGTCAGACCGTACCTGAAGTATTGCATTTAGTCAGATACCATTTTAAGAAGAACATTGATAAACCTGACATGTCCTAAGGAGACAGTAGGTTCATAAATATTTGTTAAGCACCTACTGTGTGCCAGGCACTGTAATAGGCACTGGGGATACAAAGAGGCAAAAGACAGTCCCTGCCCTCAAGGGGCTTAGAACCCAAAAGTGCCCAACAAGTATGGTGAACAGCTTCAAGATCATAGCATGTACGGATCAACTGAAGGAACTGGGGCTCTCTAGTCTACAGTAGGAAAGACTCCAAGGGACATAATATTTGCCTTGGAGTATTTAAAGGGATGGTAGATGATAAAGGGATTCAGTTTTCTCTGCTTGGTCCTGGAGGGCAGTCAATCAAAGTAGCATTCATTAAGTGCTTACTATGTTCCAGGTACCCCTGCCAAGCACTTGGGATACAAAGAACAAGTAAATACAATTCCTGCCATCAAAGGGCTTCCATTCTAATGGGGGAGACAACATATATAAATTAGTCCATGCAACATAAATACAGAGCAGCAGGGTTCTTTTTGTGTCATAGATCCCTTTGACAGCCTATGGACGCCTTCTCAGAATAATGTTTATAAATGTTGAAAACAAAACACATAGGATTACAAAGAAAACCATTTTTGTTGAAATATATAAAAATGTTTTTAAAAGTCCACGGACCCTCAGTTAAAAATCCCTGGTTTAATAAGCACCATCCCCCATTCCCCAGGACTAGAAATGATTATAAAAACTAAATTATTACCAAAAAAAAATGCACAGGCAAAGGGGAAAGAATCCAACCATAGAGAGCTGTTATGGGAATAGAGAAGATTGGGGTTTGTCTTCAGAGGACGATATAGAAGCAAAGAAACCCTCTTCTGCCCCGAAGAGTAATGTCAAATGGTCACCTGCCCAAAAAGAACTCATTGAAGAACTTAAAAAAGACTTTAAAAATCAAATGAGAGAGACTGAGGAAAAACTGAAAAGAAAACTAAAACAGTACAAGAAAAACAAGAAGATTATGGAAAGAAAGCCAACTAATTAGAAAAAGGAGATCCAGATCTTAAGGAAGAAAATGACTCCTTGAAAATCAGAATTGGGCAAGGGGAAGCCAGTGAAGTTATAAGATGAAGAAATTAAAAAATAAATATAGAGAGAATAAAAAAATAGAAGAGAATGTGAAACATCTCATAAGAAAAACAACGGATTTAGAGAACAGATCAAAAAGAGAAGACATAAAAATAATTGGACTACCTGAAAGTTCTGATCAAAAAAAGAATCTTGATAAAATAATACAAGAAATAATTAAAGAAAATTGTCCTGAAGCATTAGAATAAGAGGGGAAAGTAGAAATAGAAAAAAAAAAATCTATCCATCACTACCTGAAAGAGGAAAACTCACAGGAATATTATAGTCAAATTTCAAAACCCCCAGATCGCAACAAGAAAAAAACAATTTATATATGGTAGTACCACAATTAAAATCACACAAGGCCTAGCAGTGGCAACACTAAAAGATCTCAGGTCTTGGAACATTGTGTATTGAAAAGCAAAAGAACTGGGCTCCCAGCCCAAAATATCATACCCAGCAAAGCTAAGCATAATTCTGAATGAAAAAAAAAATGGACATTTGATCAACTGTCAGACTTTCAGGTCTTTGTTTAAAAAACAAAACAAAACAAAGAAAAAAACCCTAAACTCAATAGAAGATTTAACATAAAGAGCCAAGAGAAACATAAGGTGCTTACCAATGACCAATTCCAAGGGACTAAATAAGTAGAGGATATTGACCTTTTATGTATGAAAAATGTAAAACCTATGTCTCAGATCATTACTAGTAATTGGGTAACTTATAAAAAAGATTGGGGTAGACCTGAGTATGATATGACTTCAAAAAGTAACACCATTCAAGTATACCTAAAAGAGTAATTATCTTTTACAAATGAGGTGCAAGAGTAAGAACCAACCCCGAGGAATTGGGGTAGGGGGAGAACAACCTTTGCTTAGAGGGGGGAGGCACTAGCAGATGGAGGCAAGAAGGGAGCAGACCTCCTGCGAGGTAGGCTTGAAGGAAGTTGGGTAATCTTAAAGGCAGAAGTGAAGAGGAAGATGAATATACCAGGCATGGGGGACAGCCAGAACAAAGACACAGAGATGGACACTGGATTGTCTTGTGTGAGGGACGCCAGTAGGCCAGAATCTGTGTATTGTAGAACGTGTCTAAAAGAAATACTCTCTTAAAGACTGGAAAGATAGGAAGGGGCTAAGTTGTAAAGACATTGAAATAGCAAATAGAAGTTTTTATTTTATTTTAGAAGTAATAGGCTTCTAGGTTCTTCCATTGTACCTGAGGAGCCATAGAGAACTCCCTGATATGTTTCTTCTTGTAATATTTTCCCTGCTAAGGGAGATGTTTCCTTATCAGCCTTTTTGGGCTTAAGGAGAAATTCTGAACATCTTTACCTAATATCTGTTTTTAGGAGCCAAGCGTCATCCCTGACTTTAAATGTTTTCTTAGTTTTCTCGTCTTTGCAGTCCTCTGTGACTCTGTATCTGCCTTGGCTCCTCCCATTGTTAGTAAAACTTTAAAATAGAGGGGCTCATACATGGCCCCCATCACCTGCCAGCTGTTGAACCTTGACAGATATTCTCTGAAGATGAAATTGGCTTTAATTATTTTGTTGTTGCTGTGTATTCATTAGGAGAAGGCTTAATACAAAAATGGTCCCCTTTGTTTTCTGGCTCTCAATTTATTTAATAGTCAGGATTATAATCTGCCTATTGGCATATGCCTTGCATTAACTGGCAAGTTGTTGAATTTGTCAGCTCGCTACAAGCGCTTGATAGAATTTGATGGAATGCTTATTCTAAATTCGTTTTTTAATCACACATCTCCAATGTAGCACAGCAGATCTCATGTGGAAGTGCATGCATGCCGCCATTTCCCTGGGGATGTTTAACAATTGTAGGCAGTTATGAAATGGATCAACACCGCCAAATGCTTAGTAAAATAAACTCACAGGTAACTGTTTTGTTATTGATCCTTTACAAATTAGCCTCAAGCAGTGAGTTGAGTTGAACTGAAAGTAGGTTGTGTGATTTTAGTTTCTCCCCGTTAAATACGATAGAAAGCAGTGTAACTCACTTACTGAGAGGGTTAGTAAGCAACTGGTCAGGTGTTCTGAAAGAAGCTCAGCGCCCAATGTGCGGGCCAGTCACTAAGAAGAACAGGGAATGTGTTGGAGTCATACTTCATAAAGAATAATAATAGTATGGAACAAATTGATTTGGGTGTAAATAGATGCAGATAACTTGCCATTCCACTTACATAGAAGTATATTTCATTTTTTTCAGCTTAAAGACTGTATTTGACTTTAATTGAATGACCCACAGAGGTATTACAAAGTAATGAGACTGATTTCTTTGACACACATGACAATTCCATATCATTACTTCACAGTTGTATTGTGGGCATACAATACCAGATAGGTATATTTTTCTCAAATATTCTAATATCCATATAATTTATTGGGCTAAATATTCTTTGGGTAAATATGTGCATGCCGAAGTAGTGATAGGATTTGTTAATAGCAATCAAAGTGGAGCGAGAGAAAAATAGAATGGCATTAGAGAAAGACAGAGCGACTCTGTTATCTGGATACTAATTTTGTTTTGTGAATTATCTATCCTGTTTAATGTAAGAAATTAAATACAGTCAGAGCTAATTAGTACTTGGGTAGAAGGTTGCTTGGGTATACTAGGTGCTGTATGTGGCCAGATAGCTCAGTTTTTTTAGTACATATCTAGATAATAAGGCTAGGGTCTTGGGTTTGAATCCTGTATGGACAAATTAATTATGGATCATTTCTTCATTATATAAACCTTTAAACTGTCACCTAAAGTCTGCAAAAATACTTCGTTGGCCACAAATGATACCAGCCAAAAGAGTGTAGAAGGATCAGTACCATTATCCTGAATATAACAGCAAAAGCAATTTTAAAGTTCACTCACAGTGAGGTTAGCCATCTTTATGAAATCTCACTTAATTATCTTTACATAAAATAGACTTCAGAAAGAATCAATTATGTTTCTCATTACCAGGTATTTTTTTTAAAAGTTAGTCCAGGAATGACACTGAAATTGTTCATTAATGGTGAGTATTTCTTAAACACATGTTATGTACCAGGCACTATGCTAAGTGCTAAGAATACAAATATAATCGGAGAGAAAGATGATTCTTGCCTTCAAAGATCTTCCGTTCTATGAGGGAAGATAACACATAAGAGGGAGCTGAAGACCAGGGGGACTGGAGTTCTGGAAGAACTTCCGTTTTAGGAGTTGGGGAGGATCTTGGTATTCAGAAGAGGAGATCACAAGAGCGGAAGGATCTTCCAGGGTGAGAAGGCTGCTGAGCATGATGGAGAGAGATGTCCGTAGAGTCAGGAGTAGATCCACGAGAGGAGTGAAGTTTGGGAATTAGGTGTGGATTTTATCCACTGATGCCCTTAGTGTCTGCCATGAGCACACAGACCATGCTCAAGGACTATAAAAGGAAAAATCTCATTTGTGTTTAGCCAGTACTTGTGGTAGTACTTGTAATATCTGCCTACAATCTTTTTGGACCTTGATTCTGGAAAATCAGGTTATACTTTGGGACCTTTTTCAAGTGTCTTAGTACCATGTGTTTTCTCATAGTAAAATGGGGTTAATGATGGGGTTAATATGCTCATCTGACAGAGGGTGATGAGAACAACTGATTAGTTTGTGAAGTGTCATTACTCTTGTCTATGAATGACATGCCATTCAGAGTATTATAAGTTATCTTCAGGTGATGTTGAGAGGCAACATGATGTGATGGAAATAACTGATGTCTGAGTCAGGAAGAGCTGGGTTCAGGTCCTACTCTGACACACCACAGATGAGTCACTTAAGCGTCTCAGTGCCCTAGACTGCTTTCTAAGATCACAAGTTATGAAGGTGCCAGGCTCCATTCATAGAGAAAGATGCTTCATGATGGAGACGTTATAGATCCAGGCCCTGTCCTTACTCCTATCCTCAAATATTAAGCTAAGAAGTTTGTTGTTGTTGTTCAGTTGTGTCCAACTCTTCATGACCCCATTTGGGGTTTTCCTGGCAAACATACTGGAGGGGTTTGCCATTGCCTTCTCCAGCCCATTTTACAGATGGGGAAACTGAGGCAAACAGGGTTAAGTGACTTGCCCAGGGTCACACAGCTAGTCAGTGTCTAAGGTCAGATTTGAATTCTGGTCCGCGTGACTCTAGGGCCAGCACTCTATCCACTGTGCCACCTAGCTGCTGCCAAGGTTAGACTCACATAAAGCTGTGCAAGTTTTCTGGGGATTTGCAGGTGTGTGACAGATCCAGCTCATGTGTGCCTATTTTTAATGCCTTTCCAGAAAACTCTGGAAGCATGACCTAAGAGCTGCACAGACCCATGGTCTCTGAAACATCTTAAATGCTTAGTAAAGTAAACTCATAGGTAGCTGTTTTGCTATTGATCCTTTGTAAATTAGCTTCCAGCTGTGAGTTTTTTCCCCTCTAACAGGGTATCCTATCAGTTCTAATGGATATTGGAAAGAAAGTGGAGGAACGGTTCCATTATTCCACTGTTTTATTGGTGAGTGAAATGGAGCTGGATTACAAGAACTAGCATAGTAGAGGAAACTGTGAGTCAAAAGACCTGATTGTAAATCCCAGGTCTGCCACTTAACTCTTTTGTGTGACCTTCGACAAGTCACCTCTGGTCCTGAGTTTTCTCATCTGTAAAAGAAGGGGATTGGATTAGAATCCAGGGGTGGGGAACCAGCGGCCTCAAGGCCACTTGTGGCCTTCGAGGTCCTCAAGTGCAGCCCTTTTGATGGAAACTTCGTGGTTTGGATTCAGTTAAAGGGCCGCACTTGAGGACCTAGAGGGTCATGTGTGGCCACGAGGCTGCTGGTTCCCCACCCCTGAATTAGATAATCACCAGTTCTCCTTACAGCTCTGACATAGTGATGGTGGAATGAAAACTTACATTTTCTCTCTGCATTGCCCAATTACTCCATCTTACCGTGGCTTAGTGCATATTGACTCAACGTGTGTGTTTACTTCCTTTCAGACATCATTCAGCCGTGGCTTTACAAAGAACATGAAGCTTGAAGTTGTAAACCCCAGGAACCCGGGGGAACTCTGTGTGGCCTCTATCATCAGTGTGAAGGGAAGGTTGATGTGGCTTCACCTGGAAGGTATGTATGTGTAACAAGAACCTTTTATAAAGTTAGAACATTATCATGTGTGCATGTGAATTCAGCTCTTCTAAAAGTCTCTCCCCCAGCAACCCCTGCCTTTGCTCTGCTTTTATGCAAATGAGTCTTAAGTTATTCAATATTCTTAAGTAAGTGAAACTAATCAAATATAAATTCATTCTGAGCCTCTCTTCTTAACTAATAATTTCATGAAATGAGATGTTGGTGAGATAATTATGTTTGGAATACAGTGGTCTTTTTGCTTGTATGATCATAAAAGCTAATGCTACAATCAGATTAACATGAGTCACTAAAACTGGAATGTTGGGGTCTTATTATCTAGATAGAATATTTGCATGTTTGCATTATTTATTTGTTTGCATTATTTTTGCTTCATTACCTCTAGTAGATGTTTTGTTTTATATTTTCTAAAAGAATAGAATGAATCAGCTTTTGTCTCAGGTGTATAATGAATGGGATTTTAGCTGGATTTTTCCAGTGCTGCATAGATCACTCCTTATGTATGCTCTGTGTAGGGTAGAAACATGATCAGTCAAGTTGGGAAGATGAGGAATTGTATTTTCTGAAGAGTGGAACACTAATGAGATTTTGGATACCTTAGAGATAAATCTATACTTTTTAGTTGCCACTTTTTCAAGAGGAAGTAATTAGAATGGATTTGAGCTTTAAAAAAAACTCAGCAGTACTTTGTTTTTCCATAATGCCTAATATTGTTATTTCAGACGCTTAATAAGATAAGTATATCTTCTTGAAAAGAAAATGCAAAAAAATACCTTTTATGGATATATTGGAATAATCTTGGATCTCCAGACCTGTGGTTTGTATCTTAGAAGGCCTTAACAACATTGACATCTAAGCATAAAGTTTGGAAGCTCATAGAAGTATCTTTGGCTTTCCTCCCATCCCCTTTAGTGTCCCTAGAAAATAAGTCCAATAAAATCAAAGGTTCCCTGGTAGGTCTGTAGTTTTTTGAGTCTCATTCCCAGCCATATGGCATTTTACATTCTAATGCTGCTTTGGAAAAGGTGGAAAGCAACTGTTCTAGGCATTAGCTTTTTAAAAGAATTCTATTTGTGTTGGCACCATTAGTCCCCAAGAAATACTCTAAAATTCATTAACACTTAATTTTAATGACAGTTGTCATTTGGATTGTAATATTGACTTTTATGTTCATTCAATCAATATACTGCACTTTGAGGTCCAGTTAAATAATAGAATAATCCTCTAAAATGTCTGATTTCTCAAGTTAGTACTTCTCAAAATGGCATGACCTGTTAGGGTTAAACAGAAGAGAGATACTGCATTTTGTTTTCATTACCACATTTAGGACTGAGTTGGCTATCCTTGGAGAAATAAGATTTCTCTTGTATTTCCAAAACACTGAATTTAATTTGCACTGGGATGAAACATGTATTCTAAGGCTTAAGGTTTGTTTACATTATTTCTTTGAAAACAAAAATGGTAAAGTTGGAAGCCCATGTTTCATTATTATTTAACACATTATGTTTAAAATTCCTCTGCAGTCATTATTTATTTAGCAGCTTATATTTTCAGAGTGCTTTACAGCTGTTAATTAGTTAACAAACACAGCAGTAATAGTGTCCTGAATTTTATAGGTGGGGAAGCTAGCGGAGCCATTAAGATGTGCCTGGGATTCAATTTTCAAGGCTTTTGACATTGTATCTAATGCCTAGTCCTCTGGATTCCATAGCCTTCTGGTTTTCTTAAGCTTTTATGAGAAACATCTAGTATTTAATTTTTCAAGCAGTAATCATCTTGTTTCAGTAGGCCTACTTTGTATGCTGTTGTACTTTGGAATATTTCATTTAATCACTCCTCACATTTCCAAAATATGGTCACTAGCTTGTAATGTGAAGTCTAACTAACATAGAATACTTTTGTGAAGTAGAATGTCCAGCTTCCTAGACCATATACAGGTATTTTAAAAAGAATAGTTTTGAATCTAGTATTCTAAGCTATATTTGTTTTTTTTTTTAGTAAATTATATTTTCTTTTTTCCAATTACATGCAAAGATAGTTTTCAATATTCATTTTTTTTAAACTTTTTAAAAAATTTTATTTAGTATTTAATTTCCCCTCAGCTACATGTAAAAACAATTTTTAGCATTTGTTTTTAAAACTTTGAGTTCCGAATTCTGGCCCTTTCTCTCCCTCCCCCCCCCCCCCCCCACTGAGAAGGCGGGTAATTCAATATAGTTATACATACGCAGTCATGTAAAACATATCCATAATAGTCATGTTGTGAAAAATTCATTTTTTTATAAGATTGTGAGTTCCAAATTTTTCTCCCTTCCCAAGACAGCAAGCAATCTGATATAGTTTAACCTGTGTTTTTAAATTTTTAATATAATTATTTCAATGCAAAGTTGGGTACAGGAGAAGATGACAAAAATTATGTTGAAAAATGTCTCCGGTTCAAGAAACAAAAGAAGCCCAAAGGCTTACAGACTATTTGGAAGTCTCATACATTTGTATCATGTGCAGTTTCTTGCATGAGAGACTTGGGAGGTGGTGAAGATATGATAATGTGATGTTATTATGAAATAATATCACCAAAAAAAAGTTCATTATAGGCTAACTGAAAGGAAATGTCTGGTTATTAATGTGGGAATTTCTATCAAAATCAACCATGTAGGAATGCATGCATGCAGCAGACGTTTAGCTACTTACACCAGAGGTTAACATCAACATCAGGTCACCACATACAGTTACAATGATTTCAACCTGACATATTGAAATAAGCCATCAGTGCCAGAAAATGGAAAACGTAAAAGTATTGATCTTAACTACCAACAGTTTCAGCAAAAAAAACCAGTGGTAAATCATTTATTGCAATAAGGAAGCATTAAGAGTCTCAAAACCATATTAGTGATCAAAATGCCAAAGGAAAAGACGTAGCAGTCAAGGCCTACGTTGATTTAGAATACCAGTATATCTGCAGAACTCTACAGAGGAATGTTCAGAGCCTCATTAACTTGTGAAATAGTGTAAAATGAAGGAGGCAAGGATAACTCTGCAAAATGCATGGTGTAAAACCCAACTGTATACCACAACATCATGCGAGTATTGGTAGATGTCCTCCTGTGGATAAGCTTATGGGACATGGAACAAATGTTTTACAGCCCATTATTGTCGTCAATACTAGAGGAACTTCTTTAGAAGTAGAAATGCTACATAAGACTATGAAGATAGCAAACACAGTTGAATCAGACCAAGTACAAACTGAGGAAGTCTGTAGACTCTTAGTCTACAAAATAGCCATAGCCTGGCCCCAAGGCATGATCTCTATTGTGATCTGCCAAACAGAGGGTGAGATGTTGACCATCATAAGGCTTCTCTCCAACACACCAGTTATTGGCTTAGTACCTCCTCTACTCTGCCTTCTCTTGCCACTGCAAGCTCCCAGCCTCCTACTTATTCCCATCCTTCTCGAGGTAGTTATAATGAACCAAATGGACTACCCATGTCAGCAGCTATGCTTGTGCCATTGGGAAACTTTCCACCCCCCAACATAGCTTTTCCTTGCCCTAGATCAGCTTCTCAGAGAATAGACTATGTTTCCTAGGGCAGTGACTGGTGAGTGAGAGCTGCTCTTACCCTGTCCCCATTTTTTATTTTACGTGAAACAGAGTGAATCACATGAGATGACCAGGCATGAATGGCTTGTTCTCTGCATTGCAGATCTCATTATGTTATCTTTTCCCCCAAACGGTACTCCTCCCTGTTGCTGTTGAGGACTCTCCCATCATTTCCAGTGTCCCAACCTCAGTGCTGTCCCCAGCTCTCAGTTGCCAGATCATGTTTTTTCTATGTCCACATCATCTTTCTCACATCCATCCTTTTTCACTTTCATAGTTGGCCCCCTCATTAAGACCTTAATCACCTTGCCTGGACTATTGAATAGCCTTCTAATTGGTCTCTCCACTCCACTCTATCTTTTACGTACCTGCCAAAGTGATTTCCCTAATCCCCACTGGCTCCCTCTTTTCTCTACTATCAAATGTGAAATCCCTTCTTTGGCATTTAAAGCCTTCCACAGCCTGCCCTTAACCTACCTTTCTACCCTAATTACGAATTACTCTCATCCTGCACTCAGGAAATCCGACTGACCTTTCTGCTTTCTTACACTCCTAGAGAAACACAACTAAAATAGTCAGTCATCAGTAGGAAATTAATGTATGTCAGTAGAAGCACATAAAGAAATAGAATGAATTTATATTGAAGACTTTCTGCAGAGTTGAAATCAATCCATTCACTTTTGTTTCTACTTTGTGCATGTGAAAATATATATATGTGTGTGTGTGTATATATGCGTATATATATAAAATATATAAAAACATGACTCCTGCTGAGAAACTGTTATGTTTTCTGACTGTGATGATCTATTATTTGATTGTTATATGGTATAATATTCAGTTAAAAAAATAATATAAAAAAGAAATTAAGATGCTAGGTTAGCTACATTGATTAAACTTACCAAATAAATGCTGTTCATTTATTATTTACAAATCTACAGGACACACACAAAGTATCCAATCACTTCGCTCTCATTGAAAAAATACTATGTAAATAGTATTTTTAGAGAGTAAAAAGGGTGTTTGTATCATTTAACAATATTTTTATTATTTCATCTCTATATCATCCTTTAACATTTCTATTTTTGCACACATTTTATGATGTACGTGCCATTTAAAAATAAATATACATTGTTAGGGGTATGTGCTCAAAAAATGTTTATAGATACGAGTACGTAATTAGAAAAGTTTGTAGAATGCTGATATAGAACATAATTATATTGAAAATATTGAGGGATCATTCAACAAGATACTTCTAAGAAAAGATCCCAAAAAAATACAAAAAATCACAGATAACATAATTACTCCTAAAAGGTGATTGAGAGTACATCAATAACCATGTCCCCAAAATACATTTTTTCTCACACCTTTTAAAACCACTAT